ACGGTGGGATGTCATTGGGCGACCCATAAACGGTGGGATGTCATTGGGCGACCCATAAACGGTGGGATGTCATTGGGCGACCCATAAACGGTGGGATGTCATTGGGCGACCCATAAACGGTGGGATGTCATTGGGCGACCCATAAACGGTGGGATGTCATTGGGCGACCCATAACGGTGGGATGTGCAGTGTCTCAGTCCTCCCTACACCACTGATGTGTCTCAGTCCTCCCTACACCACTGCTGTGCAGTGTCTCAGTCCTCCTTACACCACTGATGTGTCTCAGTCCTCCCTACACCACTGATGTGCAGTGTCTCAGTCCTCCCTACACCACTGATGTGCAGTGTCTCAGTCCTCCCTACACCACTTGTCTCAGTCCTCCCTACACCACTGATGTGTCTCAGTCCTCCCTACACCACTGATGTGCAGTGTCTCAGTCCTCCCTACACCACTGCTGTGCAGTGTCTCAGTCCTCCTTACACCACTGATGTGTCTCAGTCCTCCGTACACCACTGATGTGCAGTGTCTCAGTCCTCCCTACACCACTGATGTGCAGTGTCTCAGTCCTCCCTACACCACTTGTCTCAGTCCTCCCTACACCACTGATGTGTCTCAGTCCTCCCTACACCACTGATGTGCAGTGTCTCAGTCCTCCCTACACCACTGCTGTGCAGTGTCTCAGTCCTCCTTACACCACTGATGTGTCTCAGTCCTCCCTACACCACTGATGTGCAGTGTCTCAGTCCTCCCTACACCACTGCTGTGCAGTGTCTCAGTCCTCCTTACACCACTGATGTGTCTCAGTCCTCCCTACACCACTGCTGTGCAGTGTCTCAGTCCTCCTTACACCACTGATGTGCAGTGTCTCAGTCCTCCCTACACCACTGATGTGCAGTGTCTCAGTCCTCCCTACACCACTGCTGTGCAGTGTCTCAGTCCTCCCTACACCACTGCTGTGCAGTGTCTCAGTCCTCCCTACACCACTGCTGTGCAGTGTCTCAGTCCTCCCTACACCACTGCTGTGCAGTGTCTCAGTCCTCCCTACACCACTGCTGTGCAGTGTCTCAGTCCTCCCTACACCACTGATGTGCAGTGTCTCAGTCCTCCCTACACCACTGATGTGCAGTGTCTCAGTCCTCCCTACACCACTGCTGTGCAGTGTCTCAGTCCTCCCTACACCACTGCTGTGCAGTGTCTCAGTCCTCCCTACACCACTGCTGTGCAGTGTCTCAGTCCTCCCTACACCACTGATGTGCAGTGTCTCAGTCCTCCCTACACCACTGATGTGCAGTGTCTCAGTCCTCCTTACACCACTGATGTGTCTCAGTCCTCCTTACACCACTGATGTACAGTGTCTCAGTCCTCCTTACACCACTGATGTGTCTCAGTCCTCCTTACACCACTGATGTGTCTCAGTCTTCCCTACACCACTGATGTGCAGTGTCTCAGTCCTCCCTACACCACTGATGTGTCTCAGTCCTCCCTACACCACTGATGTGTCTCAGTCCTCCCTACACCACTGATGTGTCTCAGTCCTCCCTACACCACTGATGTGTCTCAGTCCTCCCTACACCACTGATGTGTCTCAGTCCTCCCTACACCACTGATGTGTCCTAGTCCTCCCTACACCACTGATGTGCAGTGTCTCAGTCCTCCCTACACCACTGATGTGTCTCAGTCCTCCCTACACGACTGATGTACAGTTTCTCAGTCCTCCCTACACCACTGATGTGCAGTGTCTCAGTCCTCCTTACACCACTGATGTGTCTCAGTCCTCCCTACACCACTGCTGTGCAGTGTCTCAGTCCTCCTTACACCACTGATGTGTCTCAGTCCTCCCTACACCACTGATGTGTCTCAGTCCTCCCTACACCACTGATGTGTCTCAGTCCTCCCTACACCACTGATGTGTCTCAGTCCTCCCTACACCACTGATGTGCAGTGTCTCAGTCCTCCCTACACCACTGATGTGTCTCAGTCCTCCCTACACGACTGATGTACAGTTTCTCAGTCCTCCCTACACCACTGATGTGTCTCAGTCCTCCCTACACCACTGATGTACAGTGTCTCAGTCCTCCCTACACCACTGATGTGTCTCAGTCCTCCCTACACCACTGATGTGTCTCAGTCCTCCCTACACCACTGACGTACAGTGTCTCAGTCCTCCCTACACCACTGATGTGCAGTGTCTCAGTCCTCCCTACACCACTGATGTGTCTCAGTCCTCCCTACACCACTGATGTGTCTCAGTCCTCCCTACACGACTGATGTGTCTCAGTCCTCCCTACACCACTGATGTGTCTCAGTCCTCCCTACACCACTGATGTGTCTCAGTCCTCCCTACACCACTGATGTGCAGTGTCTCAGTCCTCCCTACACCACTGATGTGCAGTGTCTCAGTCCTCCCTACACCACTGATGTGCAGTGTCTCAGTCCTCCCTACACCACTGATGTGTCTCAGTCCTCCCTACACCACTGATGTGCAGTGTCTCAGTCCTCCCTACACCACTGATGTGTCTCAGTCCTCCTTACACCACTGATGTGTCTCAGTCCTCCCTACACCACTGATGTGTCTCAGTCCTCCCTACACCACTGATGTGTCTCAGTCCTCCCTACACCACTGATGTACAGTGTCTCAGTCCTCCCTACACCACTGATGTGTCTCAGTCCTCCTTACACCACTGATGTGTCTCAGTCCTCCCTACACCACTGATGTGTCTCAGTCCTCCCTACACCACTGATGTGTCTCAGTCCTCCCTACACCACTGATGTGTCTCAGTCCTCCCTACACCACTGATGTGTCTCAGTCCTCCCTACACCACTGATGTACAGTGTCTCAGTCCTCCCTACACCACTGATGTGTCTCAGTCCTCCTTACACCACTGATGTGTCTCAGTCCTCCCTACACCACTGATGTGTCTCAGTCCTCCCTACACCACTGATGTGTCTCAGTCCTCCTTACACCACTGATGTGTCTCAGTCCTCCCTACACCACTGATGTGTCTCAGTCCTCCCTACACCACTGATGTGTCTCAGTCCTCCCTACACCACTGATGTGTCTCAGTCCTCCCTACACCACTGATGTGTCTCAGTCCTCCTTACACCACTGATGTGTCTCAGTCCTCCTTACACCACTGATGTGTCTCAGTCCTCCCTACACCACTGATGTGTCTCAGTCCTCCCTACACCACTGATGTGTCTCAGTCCTCCCTACACCACTGATGTACAGTGTCTCAGTCCTCCCTACACCACTGATGTGTCTCAGTCCTCCTTACACCACTGATGTGTCTCAGTCCTCCCTACACCACTGATGTGTCTCAGTCCTCCCTACACCACTGATGTGTCTCAGTCCTCCCTACACCACTGATGTACAGTGTCTCAGTCCTCCCTACACCACTGATGTGTCTCAGTCCTCCTTACACCACTGATGTGTCTCAGTCCTCCCTACACCACTGATGTGTCTCAGTCCTCCCTACACCACTGATGTGTCTCAGTCCTCCCTACACCACTGATGTGTCTCAGTCCTCCCTACACCACTGATGTGTCTCAGTCCTCCCTACACCACTGATGTACAGTGTCTCAGTCCTCCCTACACCACTGATGTGTCTCAGTCCTCCTTACACCACTGATGTGTCTCAGTCCTCCCTACACCACTGATGTGTCTCAGTCCTCCCTACACCACTGATGTGTCTCAGTCCTCCTTACACCACTGATGTGTCTCAGTCCTCCCTACACCACTGATGTGTCTCAGTCCTCCCTACACCACTGATGTGTCTCAGTCCTCCCTACACCACTGATGTGTCTCAGTCCTCCCTACACCACTGATGTGTCTCAGTCCTCCTTACACCACTGATGTGTCTCAGTCCTCCTTACACCACTGATGTGTCTCAGTCCTCCCTACACCACTGATGTGTCTCAGTCCTCCCTACACCACTGATGTGTCTCAGTCCTCCCTACACCACTGATGTGTCTCAGTCCTCCTTACACCACTGATGTGTCTCAGTCCTCCTTACACCACTGATGTGTCTCAGTCCTCCCTACACCACTGATGTGTCTCAGTCCTCCCTACACCACTGATGTGTCTCAGTCCTCCCTACACCACTGATGTGTCTCAGTCCTCCCTACACCACTGATGTGTCTCAGTCCTCCTTACACCACTGATGTGTCTCAGTCCTCCCTACACCACTGATGTGTCTCAGTCCTCCTTACACCACTGATGTGTCTCAGTCCTCCCTACACCACTGATGTGTCTCAGTCCTCCCTACACCACTGATGTACAGTGTCTGCCAACGATCTTATAAAACCCTCCCACCCACACGACCTGTGGCTCCATCATGAATGTAATTACGGGATGCCTTGACTGGCTATTGTAGTGCAGCTCCCTGATCAGATCCTTCAACAAATGAAATCATTTCACCGAGTCTCTTTGTAATGTGGGAGGCTCAACTCTAACGGTGTACACACATGCCCAACACGGCTCCACTCTGTACACACATGTCCAAGACATCCTTATTTAGAATCACATGCCATATTTGACTAGGTCGAGTTGTTCTGCTGTTACACACCTCTTCATGTCTCGTATGAGTTGTGCCCAGATATTAACACGTTATATTCTTTTGATACTGTTGTAAGTGTGACCTAGCTACATTGAGTTAAAATGTATTTAATGTGAATTGACCGAGAGGAATCTTGAGACAAATACTCTACATTTTGTCTGCAATCTTGAGACAAATACTCTACATTTTGTCTGGAAACTTGAGACAAATACTCTACATTTTGTCTGGAAACTTGAGACAAATACTCTACATTTTGTCTGCAATCTTGAGACAAATACTCTACATTTTGTCTGGAAACTTTCTGTTGTATGTGCTGTCTGTCTTAGTCATGATGCATTCTTTCATTCACACAGATACGTATTGACACGATGTTAGATGTATAATTAGTTGTGTCTTAGAAGCCAATGTATAACTGACCTTTTCCTTATTTCAGGTAACGATCTGGCCAGTGGTGCTGACCTGCAGACCAGAGTAAAATGGTCTAACTCTCCGTGGGACGGGCTTGCTCGCCATGGAAGCAGAGAACGAGACAGATATGAACTTTCTCATGGGTCAGTTCTACTCGATGTCCGACGCCAAGGAGGGGGCTTACCGCGGTAAGCTCAACTATTACCTCATGGGCATCGGGGGCAGCATCGTTTGCTGCCTGGGCACTATCGCCAACGCGTTGTCCGTGGCCGTGCTGACCCGTCGAGCCATGAGGTCCAGCACGTACATGTACCTGTCAGCGTTGGCCATCTGTGACTCTCTCGTCCTGCTCTTTACCCTGCTCATCATGCTCAAGGACACACAGCACCCTGACGGCCCACAGAACCTTGACCAGTTCTACGCCGTCCTCTTCCCCTTCGTCCACCCCACTGCCATCGTCTTTCAAGTGACCTCCATCTGGCTGACCCTGGCCTTCACGGTGGACCGTTACATCATGATCTGCCACCCGTTTAAAGCGGAGACCATGTGCCGCCGTAGCCGGGCGCGCAAGGTGGTGATAGCGCTGTACTTGGCCGGGCTTATCTTCAACATCCCCCGCTACCTGGAGTACTACACCAAGGTGGAGAAGTTCAAGATGCCCCAGAACTCGACCAGTGAGGAGTACAATGTCTATTTCATAGCCCAGACCGCCTTGGGCAGGAACGACCTTTTCCTGAAGGTCATCCACTCCGGCCTGTACCTGACTTTTGTTTGTGGCATCCCCTTCCTCACCCTCGTCATATTGAACGCTTTTCTCATCCGCGCGGTGCACCTGTCCAGGTTGAAAGGTAAGGAGATCAACGCCCGTGAGAAACATCGCAACGACACTACCATCATGTTGATCGGCGTCATCATCATCTTCCTCATCTGCCAGGGCCCTGCCCTCGTCTCCCGCATGATCTACGCCTTTGAGATCGCCGCCACGGCCAAGAAGTCCATCTACACGCTCAACGAGGTGGGCAGCTTCCTGGTCATGCTCAACTCTGCCATCAACATCGTGCCCTATTACCTGTTCGGACGGAAGTTCCGCAGCGAGTTCTGGCGAATCTTCTGTACTTGTTTCTTCGACTCGGACGAACTCCGGCGGATCGTGCGCAGCTACAGCGTGTCCGTGGACCACCGGCGCATGAGCCAGTACAACGTGATGGAGATGAACGGCGTCCCCAACGACAACATCCACCCCGGCCTGGATGACCGCACCCTCATGGCCACTGAGGGCGGCGAGTTACGCCCCCAGAAAGAATGTAACGGCGCCCCCGTGAGGAGCGAGACGTCTGAGAGCGTGGCCATGCCCCTGATACACAGCACCAACTACTCGCTCAACGGCCTGGTCAACACAGACCTCAGCAGAGACTCGCTCAAAGACTCGCCATCACAGCCGCTCTCCCCGACCGTCTCACGGCCCAACGGTCACGCGCAGTACATGACCATCACTGCCAGCCCCTGTGTGTGCGAGCCTGTCTGGTCAGTTGTCTGACCGCCGTGCTGGTACAGTTGTCTGACCACCGTGCTGGTACAGTTGTCTGACCGCCGTGCTGGTACAGTTGTCTGACCACCGTGCTGGTACAGTTGTCTGACCACCGTGCTGGTACAGTTGTCTGACCGCCGTGCTGGTACAGTTGTCTGACCACCGTGCTGGTACAGTTGTCTGACCGCCGTGCTGGTACAGTTGTCTGACCACCGTGCTGGTACAGTTGAGCTGAGAACTGACCTGGTCATATCCGACTGACCCAGATGATCCTAGAGGGATGGCTTGTGATATCCTAGAGGGATGGCTTGTGATATCCTAGAGGGATGGCTTGTGATATCATAGAGGGATGGCTTGTGATATCATAGAGGGATGGCTTGTGATATTCTCCCAGTGACACTTGGGGATGTACACCACAACCAATGACGTATGCCGTTATTATTGACACAACAACCAATGACGTACGCCGTTATTATTGACACACAACCAATGACGTATGCCGTTATTATTGACACACAGCCAATGACGTATGCCGTTATTATTGACACACAACCAATGACGTATGCCGTTATTGACACAACCAATGACGTATGCCGTTATTATTGACACAACAACCAATGACGTATGCCGTTATTATTGACACAACAACCAATGACGTATGCCGTTATTATTGACACAACAACCAATGACGTATGCCGTTATTATTGACACAACAACCAATGACGTATGCCGTTATTGACACAACAACCAATGACGTATGCCGTTATTATTGACACAACCAATGACGTATGCCGTTATTATTGACACACAACCAATGACGTATGCCGTTATTATTGACACACAGCCAATGACGTATGCCGTTATTATTGACACAACCAATGACGTATGCCGTTATTATTGACACACAACCAATGACGTATGCCGTTATTATTGACACAACAACCAATGACGTATGCCGTTATTATTGACACAACAACCAATGACGTATGCCGTTATTATTGACACAACAACCAATGACGTATGCCGTTATTGACACAACAACCAATGACGTATGCCGTTATTATTGACACAACAACCAATGACGTATGCCGTTATTATAAACTACCAATGACGTATGCCGTTATTGACACAACAACCAATGACGTATGCCGTTATTATTGACACAACCAATGACGTATGCCGTTATTATTGACACACAACCAATGACGTATGCCGTTATTATTGACACACAGCCAATGACGTATGCCGTTATTATTGACACACAACCAATGACGTATGCCGTTATTATTGACACAACAACCAATGACGTATGCCGTTATTATTGACACAACAACCAATGACGTATGCCGTTATTATTGACACAACAACCAATGACGTATGCCGTTATTGACACAACAACCAATGACGTATGCCGTTATTATTGACACAACAACCAATGACGTATGCCGTTATTATAAACTACCAATGACGTATGCCGTTATTGACACAACAACCAATGACGTATGCCGTTATTATTGACACAACCAATGACGTATGCCGTTATTATTGACACAACCAATGACGTATGCCGTTATTGACACACCAACCAATGACATATGCCGTTATTATTGACACAACCAATGACGTATGCCGTTATTATTGACACAACCAATGACGTATGCCGTTATTATTGACACAACCGATGACGTATGCCGTTATTATTGACACAACCAATGACGTACGCCGTTATTATTGACACAACCAATGACGTATGCCGTTATTGACACAACAACCAATGACGTATGCCGTTATTATAAACTACCAATGACGTATGCCGTTATTATTGACACAACCAATGACGTATGCCGTTATTATTGACACAACAACCAATGACTTGTGCCGTTATTGACACAACAACCAATGACGTATGCCGTTATTATTGACACAACCAATGACGTATGCCGTTATTATTGACACAACCAATGACGTATGCCGTTATTATTGACACAACCAATGACGTATGCCGTTATTATTGACACACAACCAATGACGTATGCCGTTATTATTGACACAACCAATGACGTATGCCGTTATTATTGACACACAACCAATGACGTATGCCGTTATTATTGACACAACAACCAATGACGTATGCCGTTATTATTGACACAACAACCAATGACGTATGCCGTTATTATTGACACAACAACCAATGACGTATGCCGTTATTGACACAACAACCAATGACGTATGCCGTTATTATTGACACAACAACCAATGACGTATGCCGTTATTATAAACTACCAATGACGTATGCCGTTATTGACACAACAACCAATGACGTATGCCGTTATTATTGACACAACCAATGACGTATGCCGTTATTATTGACACACAACCAATGACGTATGCCGTTATTATTGACACACAGCCAATGACGTATGCCGTTATTATTGACACACAACCAATGACGTATGCCGTTATTATTGACACAACAACCAATGACGTATGCCGTTATTATTGACACAACAACCAATGACGTATGCCGTTATTATTGACACAACAACCAATGACGTATGCCGTTATTGACACAACAACCAATGACGTATGCCGTTATTATTGACACAACAACCAATGACGTATGCCGTTATTATAAACTACCAATGACGTATGCCGTTATTGACACAACAACCAATGACGTATGCCGTTATTATTGACACAACCAATGACGTATGCCGTTATTATTGACACAACCAATGACGTATGCCGTTATTGACACACAACCAATGACGTATGCCGTTATTATTGACACAACCAATGACGTATGCCGTTATTGACACACAACCAATGACGTATGCCGTTATTGACACAACAACCAATGACGTATGCCGTTATTATTGACACAACCAATGACGTATGCCGTTATTATTGACACAACCAATGACGTATGCCGTTATTATTGACACAACCGATGACGTATGCCGTTATTATTGACACAACCAATGACGTACGCCGTTATTATTGACACAACCAATGACGTATGCCGTTATTGACACAACAACCAATGACGTATGCCGTTATTATAAACTACCAATGACGTATGCCGTTATTATTGACACAACCAATGACGTATGCCGTTATTATTGACACAACAACCAATGACTTGTGCCGTTATTGACACAACAACCAATGACGTATGCCGTTATTATTGACACAACCAATGACGTATGCCGTTATTATTGACACAACCAATGACGTATGCCGTTATTATTGACACAACCAATGACGTATGCCGTTATTATTGACACAACCAATGACGTATGCCGTTATTATTGACACAACCAATGACGTATGCCGTTATTATTGACACAACCAATGACGTATGCCGTTATTATTGACACACAACCAATGACGTATGCCGTTATTATTGACACAACCAATGACGTATGCCGTTATTATTGACACAACCAATGACGTATGCCGTTATTATTGACACAACCAATGACGTATGCCGTTATTATTGACACACAACCAATGACGTATGCCGTTATTATTGACACAACCAATGACGTATGCCGTTATTATTGACACACAACCAATGACGTATGCCGTTATTATAAACTACCAATCTGAGCGACTGCTGGCAGCATGTGATATTTATTTTTAGCATTGTAAGGTCCCAAACTTTGTTGTATAGATACATTTAATAAAGATGATATTTATGTTCACGGTTTAGTTCTGGTTGCTTTTTTTTTTTAAACTATTTACAATACCTTTCCTTATTTTGTCTACATCAGTATGCTCTCTTCGGCCAAACACATGGCGGTATGTCTAGCGACTTGAAAATAATTTCTTTAGTCGAGCTCATGGCATTTTTAAATATATACCGTCAGAGTCATCACTGGGTGGGGGGGGGGGGGCGTACCGGGTGACACCATTTAGGGGGCAACACCAAAGCAAGATGGTAAAAGTCTTTTTTCAGTTCAATTAAAGATAAATGAAAGTTAGATAGTTGTTTTAACTAAAAATAGACTATCCCGGCGAAGTGGGGGGGGGGGGGGGGGAAGAGACGACACACTGATGTCTATATTAATAACCGGCTATAAATAAAACATTGTTACTATTACATGTGCGCATTTTACAGCAAAGTTTTACAAGTAGAAAAGGTGTCGAGTATTTTCAATAATGGATTCGGCCACGGTGGGGGTGACACCTATTGACATTAGGCGGGGCGTGAGTGGGGGGGGGGGGGTGATACCAATCGCATTATTTACAGAAGAATGTACTAATGAGAACGAAGTAAACTTTCCGCCGAAGTTGATTGGGTGCCACCCGATCGGAACATTTCATATCAACATTTGATTCGATGGCCGGGCTTATAACTCACCTATCGATGTGATTCGATGGCCAGGCTTATAACTCAGCTATCGATGTGATTCGATGGCCAGGCTTATAACTCAGCTATCGATGTGATTCGATGGCCAGGCTTATAACTCAGCTATCGATGCTACACACCTGATCAATCATCGTATGATACAACAAATGCCCACTGTGAACGAGGGTGTGTAGTGGGGGGGGGGGGGGGGACTTGGGGACACTAATAACACACTACCGGTAATTGTAAGTTTCATTGTGTAAGTTGACTTTAGTGAAGTAGCCTTATGTCGATAATCTTACATTATTTTTTGTATTGATTGACTTTAAATGTATAGTGATTTGATTAATAGGTTGTTGTTTTTTTCTATCCATATAAAAAAAATTATGTATGATAGTACGCATGTATAGACAGTAAATGAATCTGTCTAATGGTAATGTTTTACATTATAATTATAGCACAGTATCAATTTACTTTTTGCTTTTATTCTCTCGAACTAATTAATTCAGCTCAGCACTTTTTCTATCGTGTTTAGCTTATGAAAGTTGCAAGACGATTTCTACCACTTGTTTCTTGTCTGTTTGTAAACACACCATGGAATACCAGGCGGTTGTACTGTAGGTGCCTGCTGTGATGTCGTCCGATGGTGGATTTAAGGGGGGGGGGGGCGATAAG